AGAGAGAGAGAGAGAGAGAGAGAGAGAGAGAGAGAGAGAGAGAGAGAGAGAGAGATGGCATTGAGACTTGGTGACCTTTGGGAATTGCCCAGTTCAGTGACGTTACGACCTTACATTGTATGAGCAGCGACATTGGGAATACATTGGAGACTGGGTTCGTCGGGCTATGGTGGCTGATCTTCCCTCTCTCCTTCTTCCCCCTCCGTCTCCCCTCCCTCCTTCTGAGTGATGATGTATGATGTCAAGTCCTGTCATTTCCCATGCCCCATGCTGAGTCAGATGTTGGTATTACAGTCTTCCGCTGTGCTATTTGGTATTGCCTCTGAGAGGTCGGTTCTCGGTTCTGATCAATGCCGATTAGGCATGCGGCAGTTTGGTATCTGAGCGGACCTCAACGAGAGAAAGTCTGCTCAGCAAGTTGTCACTTAGGATATCAAGTGAGAGGTAATCGAGTATTGATGAAGAGGCAACGATTGATTGATTGATTGATCAATCATCAATTAAACGTACACTGACTGACTGACTGATTGATTGATTGATTGATTGATTGATTGATTGATTGATCGATTGATTGACTGATCGATTGATTGATTGATCGATTGATTGATTGACTGATCGACTCTTGATCAGTTGATTAGTAAATGGATTATTGATTCGCTAATTGGTAGTCGTTTAATTCATCAAACTTGATTGAATTGTTTTTTCTTTTCTGTTTAGTTCTGGATCCGTGAGATTTGCAAATTCCACAATTTTCCGGAATTCCGCGATTTTTTGGAATTCTGCGATTTTTGGGAATATCCTCGAATTCCGCAAAATCCATGAAATCAGGAAATTCCACGATTTTGGGAATTAACTTCAATTAAGGGATTGAAGTAATAACAAAATCAGGGTTAGCTCATTTCTAATTCGGGACTTACGGCCGTTTGTCCTAATTAGTACTAAAAGTCTAAAAGTGTGATTTTAGTACTTAAAAAAAAATTTACCCACCACTACCCTACCTGCCTAACTTGACGACTTTTTGACGTTGCAATCAAGCCTGAAATATTTTTTTTTTCTTCTTTCTAAAATTATGCACTTACCTGCATGACAGTCTGAGCTGATTTTTTTCTTCTTTCTAAAATTATGCACTTAACTGCAGGACAGTCCGATCTGATTACCAGACTGCTCCTCGGTCAGGGCCAACCACCCCGTTCCTCCATTGCCCAAATAAAATAAAAATGTTTGTCAATCGGAAAAAGGGGGCAATTGTTTTGCTTGATTAGGCCTTTACGGCAGGGATTGGGGGTCTTGCATGCTGGTGTGTGTCTGAGCCCTCCCTCCCTCCCTCCCTTGTTCTCCCACGGCTTGGTAAGTGCCACGTCAGCCGAAGTGCCATGTCAGCAGCAGAGTGACACATCAGCAGAAGTGCCATGTCAGCATGCCCGCACCGCCTCTGGGGATGCTGGGCCAACTGGCCAGTGAGTCCCTCCCCGCCTTCCGTGCGCGTATGCTGGCAGAGATTGAGACTGAGGAACTACGACAGGCCGCGGCCGAGGCTGCCCGTATACAGGCTGAGGCTGATGCACAGCCCGGCAGCAGTGCCAAGCAGCAGCCAACGCAGACGCCCAAGGCCGCCGCAAGGAAGCCCAGGAGCTGTTACTACGGCACGAGGCAGCCGCCGTCGAAAGACTCAGGTTTTGGCATTTCGAGCCTTCCGACGGACACGAGGACGCGACACGAGAACGAGAGGAGGAACACGAGGAATTCCTCTCCAAGCTCGTGCTGCGCCTGGTTTATACTTGTAATCAGCAACATAAGTTGGCGCAGTGGTGGCTGTACTGTTTTCCCTTCCCTGTGTCATGAGCATTTCTATGGCATGGTTCATGCAAGCCGGCGGTTTGGCATGCCTGCTGACAGTTTCTTCCGCACCCCGTCCACTCCATCCTCTCATTTTGCATCGTCTCTGCAGAGCAGGCGTGGATCCACATTGCCCATGGGTTCCCTGCCTCCATGTTTCGTTGGATGTCGAAGCCCTTGCGTGTGATATCTGTCCGTGGCCAAGACCATCTGAAACAGTGTGTACATCAACGAGCCTAGCTTAGTTGATACACCCAGGAACTGTTGAAATGCAGACCGGAGCTCAAATGCAGATTTAAACCAATGAACAGAATACAATTATTCTGAATTACCTGAGGCGGGTGAGTTCAATGCTGATACCTCAAGGCCGTTGTCGGT